CAATGGGGAAACTAAAATATTTTGGTCTATATATATATATGAGAGCATAAACAATGGGGGTGCTTAGCCCAATTCTTAAATATAAAATTATTAAAACACACATTCTCTCTTTCTTTTACTCAACTTTTTACTTTCTCTTTTATCATTTTATTCAACTTTTATTAATTTTATATTTAAACACTCTCTCATCATTTTAAAAATACTCTCCAAAAGTTCTTATCTAAGCAACTATCTCTTCTTTTTACTCAATTTTTATTAATTTTATATTTAAACACACCCACTATCCTCTCTTTACTCAAATTTTATATTTCAATACACCCCACAAAAACATTTTCTTTCTTCTTTTTACTCAAATTTTAATAATTTTATATTTTAAGAATTCCTTAAGCACCCCGATTGAGACATTACATGAGTTTTAGAGTTGCCAACTTTTTTGAAAGTTGCACTAGTTTATGCAATCGAGTCATCTGACAAGAAAAAAAAAGAACCAAAAACTTACTCACCATTTCAACTTTAATTCGAGTCTATATTAAGGAACATTGTCTTCCATGTGTTCTATGTCTCATTTGTACGCTTTTATATTCCTCCAAGCTGTAGATATATCATATATTTTTCTTACAAAAAAAAAAAACAAAATTCTTTCTAAAAACAAAAAAAAATTAAATCCAAAATTAGAAAAGGTGGCAAAAAAAGAAGAAGAAGAAGAAACCAAAATTAGAATCTAATTAAGTCGTCTAACGTATTAAAAGGTTACTTATATGGATTACATAATTCTCTCCGTAATTTCGGTTTTTGGACCACTTTGATGTTTTTTTTTTTGTCACACTACGTTGATGTTGAATTATATGGATTTTATGAATGTTTTGTCTTTTTGTTTTTAGACTCATTCATCAATGTTTGTTATATTTATCTTATTATACGAGACAAATTATTAACCAGTTTAACTGTAGAAAAGGCTGAGTTCGTTGTGTTCTTTCCAACAAACTATACAAAATCCCGTCATGAATCAAAAGAACAATTTACCTCTTACGTTTCGTATAAAGAACGCTTATTGAATACACAATCCTTATTGTGGAAATAAATTCGGTAATTGTCACCT